TTATTACAAAAATAAATAGAATGCCTTGATGTTTAATGCATTTTGCAGAGAATCTGTGAAAGACCAAAAAGAACTTCTTTTTCAAATATTTGCTTACTTGAAGACATTTCAAAATTGGATTATTAGTGAAGTCTCGTGGTTTCAGTCGATCATTTATTATACTGTCAGCTGCATAGTATCTGCGCTGTTTACAGCATCAAAAAAAACCACAAATGCACGCATAGTTTTATTTGTAACACTGAGCTTTAATGTAATCATAGAGAGAATCTTAGTACAGTATTACAACAACATTCCAGACATAATGAGCGATGATAAAATAGATTTAATATATAGTATTTGGTTTGTCAGAAAAATTTGTATATGTGTATGTATATTCAGTCTACTTTATAATTATTTTTCCTACAAGGACGAGCAGATAGAAAATTTTAAAGCTTTAAAAAGGATTGAGGATCGTTTGGACTCCTTGCATAATGTTTCACTTGTTACTGAAACTCCCGCAATCAGTAAGTTGCATCTGCCAAAACTAATTTGGGTTCATATGTAGTTTATATGTATAATATATACACATTTCTATTTATTTGGTGCTTTTTTTCAGGATACTCTAAAAGAATAGCTTTGAAACGGTTGAAAAATAGTTTAGAAGTATCAACGGAATCCACGGAAAATTCGTTGGAACCTAAGTCTAAATAAACTATTTTTATTAAAAATTGTACATAAATTTTTTTTTTTTTTTTGCTTGATTTTTTATCAACAAACTTATAATTTTTCAAGTCTCTTGTAAGTTTGATGAGTAAGAATGCATGCTGCAGTTGTTCGAAAAAACAAATCAACAAATTTGTATTTGTATTAGTTTAAAATTGTTTCAATTGTTTTATCACAAAGAGATATTCATGTACACACTCACTCATTCTCCATTACAATAAGATCCTACTTTAAAATATTGATAAAATTTTTCGTTTGATCGACAGCCCGGGATGAACCAAGTCGGTACTACCCTCCGCGTTGTAAGTCCGGCCGAGAGCAGTAGCACCATAGTATAGCGGCGATCCTCCAGCTCCTCGACTTTGGTGCACTAGCGTGCGTCTCATCATCACCAATCGTTATTTGTACCATTTAAAAAAAAAACACATACAAATGCAAAATATAAAATTGAGTTTGGGGGGGAATTCGTTTCACTAGAGACACAGATGTTGTTAAAAAAAAAAAAAAAATTAAATAATAAAATAACGGATGACGACAACGATAAAGAGGTCGATCGTCCTATCGAGACTGATCAAACACTGGGGTAGAACTACGATGTTGAGATTTATTCTAAATGCTTTTATATCGAGTCATCGAAGGAAATAATAAGTGAAACATAAAAAAAAAAAATGGTATTTCTCAATTTTATGTAAAAGTGCGAATGGCTCAGTGACGAGATTTACAGTAATACAAACGAAAAAGAAAAACTATTCCAAGGAGATTATTTGTTCTTCTAATGCGATTATGTCATTCCAATAAAGTTTATGCTGAGTAAATTATAATCATTTCAAACTAATAATTTCCACCTCACAAATTAATGATGATTGCACTTTGAATTTTTTCTTCTCGATTAATTTACGTTACATAAAATATATACCAGAGATGTTGACTCTACTTTTGTTCTTTTTTATTTTATGTGTGTGTATTGCATTAAATACCAATATAATTTTTTAAAACGGCATACCATCAGTTTTTAAATAAAACGTTCCAAGAATCAGTAGCCTCCATTTATAGGATAGCTTTTTTCTCCATGAATATATATACATATATATTTTTTTTTATATTATAGTGCTCTACGTCCGGCTCCTTTAATAAGGGCACTACTATATGGGCACTTAGCACTTGGAAGAGGGATAGGAGGCCTCCATACTTATATATATTTTTATCATAGTTCTCTCTTTGCGAGAGAAGCTTTCAAAATGATGGTGCATGGCGGGAGAATGGTATCGTGGTGTGTGCGAGTAACCGTCGTTGCCGGCGAGAATTCTCAATACTCTGACAGAAATAAAACAAAGATTCTTGCTCCGAAACACACGTTTCCAAACAAAAAAATCTGTCATAATGTAACAATTTAAAAATGAGTTTTTTTGAAAAAACGTGTAATATTTTATTTTTTACGAACTTTATTGTCACGATACATGCATCGTTGATTGGAGACGCTACTCTGAAAGATTTGGGAGAGAAGCAGTTTCTTACAGTTAAATGTAAGACAGGCGTTTGTTTGCTTGCTTTATCGCTGATTTACAATTTATTCATATATTTTTTATGAAATTTGTTTTCGAAAGCTAAAGCAGTTCTTCCTTATCACGGATTATGTTGGCACAACGTATTGAAAGTGATTCAAAATAATTGCGATAAGTTGAATGACAATGAGCACTCGCTCTTGGCTTTAAGTTTAGCTAACTGTTTTTTAGAAGATTCTGGCCATGATACCTACACGTGTCACTTGAAAGATGATGAAGCAGAGAGAAGGTTGGTCAAAACTATTTATTTTTTTACTTATGTTCTCCAAATTATATAACAGTACAAATAAACAATGATGATCTGCAGAAAATGTATCAACGAAATGTCGGACAGGGCCTTCAGCGCATATAACAAATTTTATATTTATGCATCTCATATGTGCTTTTTTTTAAATCACGAAGTCTGGCAAGCAGAAACTCAGTCTACAATTAAACAGTTGGTGTATTATAATTAGTTTTTTATCAACTAATTTTCTCTCGATATTAATTTTCGACGAATGCTCTTATACAGTTTGTACGAAGCATCATCACTCATGAAAGAACAATTATCAGAAGCTTCGCAGATGCAAGGCGTTATGTTAGAGAGTCAAAAAGAAGGACTTAAAATACAAAACAAACTCTTGAACAATGGCAAGAAATTGGAAAATGTTATACAAAGTTCAACTGCATCAGTGACAAGTATGGTTTCAAACTTCAAGTAGGTTTTTTT